TGAAACACATTGTTAGAGCAGAGAGTTTGTCGAACTGTGATTCCTCTTACAGCAGTTGATGACCACAAGTATTTTTTTTTTTCGCTCTATCTAGAAATCACAAATAGGGAAGCCTTGCTAAAGGATGTAACTTAATAGCTTGCCGACAAAAAGGGTTTTAATAACAACTGATGATAATATTCAGCATTTGTATTTCGACATAATCTAATAATAACATTTTGAAAGGGCTTCAAAAAAGTGTTAACATTATTCTGACATGTTTTAAATGAAAAATAACAATTAAGTCATGTTATGCATAATGCTTGACAATACCAACAAAGATTTTTGAACTGCTGAGAAGCTTTATTAGCTTGTTTTATTTGTTGGACGCGATTTCAGAAAGAGAGGAATGGAAGTAGAAAAAGATCCAATTTTCTCATCGTTGGCATCAGCAGTCACCGTAAATAATGTTTTTTTTTGCAAAATATGCCTTGTTGAAAATTTTTTGGCAACTTAAATTTGAAGGTAACTCATGGTTTCTAATCATAAATTTAGTGATAAGCTTCGTATTTTAAAATCATTAGAGATTAGACTGAAAGTCTTTTTTTTTTGACATAGCATTCTCAATATTATGTTAGAATTTTATACTTCAATTTAAATAATCAAAATTTTGCAATCATGGTTATTTTGACTACAAAAAGAAAACATTGTTATTATTATTCTCTCTAGGAAGCAGATGGGAGGATCTTTGATGATTTTATCACAGTTAAAGCAGTCGACTTACACAAATAATTGACAAAAGATTCTGTACATACTTGACACATTTATCCTAGAAGTTTAGGAAAATGTTATTTAATTCTTTATTGCATAGTTTTTTCCTCGGACAGCTATGAAGAAACGAATATCCTCACTAGGAGCAATATGTTTTTCAATAGATGACAGACACTAAAATATAATACTCTTATCAGGTCGATACTTTAATGAACTACCACTATATATTAAAAGCATTCGAGAAATACCCCTTTTTATCTGTGGACTAATGCTTTGTGATACGATATTTGCTGATTTTCTGTCTTGAAAACAGACTACTTACGATATGTTTTTAATATGTCGATGGTTCCTTTCCCAAATTTCAGTGCTTGAGACAGTGCGAAAGGAGCTGCAAAACCTGCTACTGTATATTTCATGGATAGTTGAGTTTGCAAATAACCGCCTTGAGCTGCTAGAACGCTCTGAAACAATGCTTGTAAACGATTTTCAACCGTTCGATAGAATAAAAATAGGTTAGAATTTTGCCTGATAAACGAGATGATATTCCGTCTATTCATTAAAATTTCCTGCTCTCGACGAAACAGAATCGTCGAAGCTTCATAAACAGCTTGTTGTTTCTTATTTAATTCTTGTTCGTCAAAAATCTTTTTTCGCTCAATCGCAGTCAAACCTTGTGCAGTACTTAAACGTTCATCGGTTTCTCGGATTGTTTTCATGAGCATTTCATTGTATTGTTGCAAGTGATTCAATCGATCCTCTATTTTCGCTAATTTTTCATTTGAATCAGCCACATCTCTATCAATCAGCTTGCGAATATCTTCGTTTGTGTTAACTTTTCCAATGTCTTGTGAATTTTGTCGAACATTTGATTTCAGTTTAGAGAATAAATTGACAAATGTTTTGGGATCAGCTGGATCAAGACTGACAGAGATTCCTGTAATGATGCTGTTTAGACCTTCCAACATTCCATGTAATATTTTCTTATACTTTGCATCTAATGTTACTATTTTGTCTAATTCTATATCGGAAGGAATATCCATTTTTAGCTGTTGATCGTAATGGAACTGAAGAATATCAATAATTTCTTCTTGATGATGGTTTTTAGCTATTTCAATAAGTTCACAACACAAACGTCTTTTTTCTTCTCTAGATTCGTAACGTTCTTTACAAAATTCTTTCATAATTTTTGCTTGACCTTTTTGACACGCACTTACAAGTACCTGATAGCTATGCTTTGGTATGGCTGTCTTATTTTCATTTGTAGTCAAAGAGTCTTTCGAAATTTTACTAAATTCTAGTAGTTGAGCAATGCGTTTGAACCCTTCTTCCTTTGCTATCTGCAGAGCTGTGAAACCAGTTCTATTCGTTTGTTTCTTCGTTGCCGGATATTTTGTTGCAAACAGTTCAACTACGGCGAAATCACCTATAAACACAAAATGGTACCCATAACCTCCATGAGCACATTAATGAAAATCAACATTGAATTGTATCTCCTCCAGAAATTGTGAAGTACTCTTAATATTTGATTTCTCAAAATGATTCATTTTCATCAAAAATTAGCATTTTAATGGAGAAAGTAGATGGTGAAAAAGAGAGCTTAACACTAGTATTGTATTATTATCAAGTTGATAAATCATACAACAGGAATTCTGAACTGATTAATTTTCTCAAAGAAAGTCATTAATATTTTATGAAATTTTTGTCATTGTGCGTATGCTGTGAAGTTCGAACCACATGTTAATCTTAATTTGATTGATTTTAACGCAAAGTGCGATACGAAAGGCAGCTTCGACGAACCACTAGAAGAGATTCATACAGAGATTGCTCTATCAAAGTTCTCCAAATTTACTAAAAGCGACTATAAATTTCAGCGCAATTTTTTACTGAAGAAAGGAAAGTATGTAAGTTTTTAGAGAAAATTTTCCTCTTTCTAATGGTATATGCATCATCAAATTATGTTTTATAATGTTAGTGTCGACAAATGGCGTCTTATATACTACATGATTGTGGCATCATCTATCAATGCTTACAGAACAGAATTGATGAAATACGGTTTGTTCAAAAGTAATACTATTACGTTTCTGATTCATTTTATTTCACTTATCTGAAAATTTAGAAGAGTTTGAAGTCTCATTCAAAGAATATTCGACAGAGGACATCTTGCTCTCTTCATGGCTATTTTTAATTACATTCTCAGAATTTTATAAAGCATTTTTGATAGCGTATCGCAATCACGTGAAAAACTCTTCAAACGAAAGTAAGTTCATCTGTATCAACTGTTTTGATGTCTGTAAAATTGCTTCAGTGAATTTTACCACTGAAAGTTCCATTGATATTCGGAGATAAACCCTATATTACAGCAGAACTCAACATTTCTTCTTATGAAAAAATGTACTTCTACTATATGTTACAAACACAATCACGAGAGAACATTAGTCTCAGAACATCCACTTTCATGTTTAAACTCTATGCATGAAGAGAACTATTTAATTTGTAAAAAGCTTCAAGACGGTTCATTAGTTCCGGTTATCTACAAACTCTTGTAAACATTTCAATGCCATTGAAGGTTTGGACATGATTTATACCGAGAAACAAAACTATAACATTTTTGGTTGATATTACGCCAACATCATGTTCCTATTTCGCGTAGATTTTCTTAACAATTTCATGTAAAACCAAATTTGGATTCTTTAGATAAGAAAGATACAATAGGCAGACTATTTTGTTGTCATACGTAATATATCAGTAAGTTTCATGAAGCTAACGTTATTTAGTTGAGTCTCAGAGCAATCTGCTCATTAATAGGACAGTGCATGCATATAAGTTCATCTAAAGTTTTCATGGTTTGATCTCTTGGTACATAGCATGTGACGGCATCAAATTATGGTAGCATGTCTTTAACTCTGAGTACAATACTTATGATTACTCATGCTTGTGAGGTTTCACATTGCTTATCGGCATTTACATCATGTAAAGTACCGAAGAAAATTGACAAAAAAATAGGAACTCTCCTGACTTTGTCTTTTGTTAAATTAATCAACAGGCAAAGTAAACTTTTAGTTTTGATCAAACGTCATGCGTGACTCGAAAGCTTCTTAGATCCGTGGTCCAAGGCTGTGCCGTTCACGAATGCAGAGAAGTAAACATTTTTCATTTTTAGAGAATGTTCAGTTTTTTTTCTGAAGAAAGGTCGTCAAATGTAAAAAGACAAATTTGCACACTCACTCCCTCTCGCCACTGTTTGAAAAATCATAAATAGACTTCTTCCTCTGTGAAAAAAGTTTCGGTATACCTCTACTTTTTTTATCGCTTCACTACATGACTGTCAGCATATTATCTGAAAAAAATTTGATCAATCTCAAGCTTTTGCAATAGCATCGGCGAGAAAATCTCTCCGAATGCTAAAAAGCTTTTAAGCTGAAATCTGTTCCATAAGTAGACGATTTGTAGATGAGCATGTCTGTAAGAAGTACTAGTGCAAGCCGGGATTCGGATGAAATATGAGGACTTATTGTAATCATACTAGAGAGTTTTGTAATATGACCATTTTCGTAACGCTATGGTAACAATATTGATGAAGCTAAAGTTTGAAGATAATTCCATGGAACGTAAAGGAAAAAAGGTAAATCTTTGACCAAAAAATGAGGTCACATTTAATATTTTACAAAACATTTCATAGTCAAAGTCCAATGCTAGGTATTGAAGCGTACACTTCATTTAAAACAATACTAAAATATTGAAATCTGTAGCATAAATGTCGCTGCTGAGTGATTATTTTTTAGTGACTCACTGAAATGATTTTTTGAATAAAAAATACACTTTGTATCGCTTTCGAGTGTGTAACAAAACGTAGTGTAAATGTTTATTTCGAATTTTGAAACAGATAGTTCATTTTAACTCATCATGTAGTAAAATACTGAGAGTCGCCTCTAAAATAAGTAATATAGGACAATATTGGACAGAGATCAGTTCAGATGACGAAATAGAGTTCAAAGATAAAAATTCATTTTAATGTTTCTCATTGTAAAGTCTCCTCAGCTTCCAAGAAGGTCCAACGCAAAAAACAAGCTTATATCACGTATTCATTCTTTTTTTTTCTTAAATCATCTACCTATTACTGATTCTGTTAAACCAGCGCATATGACTGCATAATGTAGCTAATTGAATTACGCAATGTCGACTAAATAAGCTGAACATCAAAGATTAAAGCACATATCCTTTACTTTCCAATATGTTAGTAAAATGAAAAAGCAATTGATAAAATGAATTTTTCAACAAAAGAAGGAAATCGAATAATACATATGAATAGGCATGTTAATGTAGGGGCTGGATCTTATTAGGTAATCAAGATAACTATTAGATCTCAGATCGATTAGAGTCATGAAAACTCAAGCTATGTCAACTACTGATAGAGGTTAAAGTTTTAAGAGTTTTTATACAAATTGTTCGGCAATATATTGTACGATTTTCCAAATATTTAAGATCTTTTGACAGTATTATCATCAACAAGGTAGATATTTAATAATTTCTTTTTTTGACATCATTACATGAGCAACTTATAATCAGCGATGCATTCTGATTATTTTTCCAAACATTTGTTTACATTTCATCGGAACTTGCTTTTTATGATTTGCTCCTTTCTGCATAATTAGATATAGAGAAAAAATTTTTATGTTCCTATCATTAAAAATTTCTATACTTCATTGGTATCAACTCTGACTAATTAAAGATATCATTGTTGTTTGTAAAAGTTTTGAGATGATCCGAATATTAGATGCTCTTGATTGACCTTCGAGAGTATAAGTTTACCCGAGAGTGCATCGAAAAAGAGTGCATTGGATGTTCAATTTCTCTGTCTACTATCAACTGTAAGAGCTACTTTCTTTGGATACACAAGTCGTTGTACAACAGTCAATGTTAAATATCACTCTGAAAATTTCATATTGCTATCAGTAATAATTTATCCGACCTTATCAATCTGTGGCTCTTATGGATGTATCGACAAAACGTTTCTTATCGACTCTGAAGTGGATTTTGCTCTTTGTTGTGTTTCTACATTCAACTCCTAATATGATATCTGATGGACTACTCAAGGTTTAATCACTTTATTTAGGAAGCATTTTATTTTGTTTACATAAATATTCATCGAACGAAATAGAAGAAAACTCGTTCTACTCCAAAGAGAGATCACTGTTTATATCAAGCTGAGAAGTAAAATGACTTCTATAAATTTGATACTCTTCCTTCGAGCGCCATTGTTCAATGAAGCTTGAGCCTTTACTTCTTTCGAGGACATGCTAAGAAAATAAATTCATCAAAAAACTTTTCATAGTTTTGAGCATATCATGGATATCAATATTCACATAACGCTGACATATATAACTATGGATATACATGCACTCTTCTCTAAAGTGACTTTTTGATTTCATCTCTAAAACATAACAATTGAATGTTAAAGAGTTTTTTTCTAAATGATCGTGCATAGCGAAAGATTGCAATTTATTCTTTATAAGGAGCTTGGTAAAAGATAATCGAAGATTGGGAATTTGTGGAGAAAAATTCGAATCTGAAAATCCTATTTTGATGAAAAGACAAAATATTACCTTTTTTTGCCGCCAGAGTTATTGGATAGTCACCATTAGCATCAGCCGAAGTTGGAGTACTTCCACGTTCGCAGAGCCATGAGACAAGATCTATCCCATGGTACTGTATTGCATAATGTAATAGTGTTTGTTTTTGCTCATCTTGATAGTTAAAATTGGCACCGAGCGCTGCAAAAGCTGTTGCACTCTGTCTATCATCGTCAAGCACGGCAGCAGAAAATTGTATGTTGAGTTGTTCCGTTAAGTAGTTTTCTATTTCTTTGTAGCCTTTTTTTTTGCAGAGTTCTATGAGTGACTCCGATTGATTTTCATTTGAGTGAAGCATAGATGCGCCGCGTGATATAAGTGCATGCACAATACGACGATAGTTCCCATGTAGAACTGCACACAAAAGTGCCGTTGAACCATGGCAATTCTTCGCATTGATATCAGCACCAAGTTGCTGACATTTGCGGAGTACTTGAAAATCTCCGTTTGCGGCAGCTAGGCGAAGTCTGCGATTGACCAAATTACAATTGATGATGAATGCTATATCAGAATCCATTTCTTCTGCTATAGTCGTCAGAAGCACAATGCAATCCGACTGAAGCCATTCAATTGGCAGTTTTGCTCCGTTATCACAAATGAGTTGAATTAATTTGGCATTTTTGTGACGTAGTGCTTCAGCTAGATTGTCCGTGTTGTCTAAATCAACACTTGCTCCGGCATCAATCAATTGTCTAACAAGTTCTACGTTGTTTTTCTTGACAGCTTCTTCACAATCGAGAGATAGACGATATTTTATATAAGTGGCAACATTGTTGAATTTATTTTTTTTGGCAAGACAGTATGGCGAATCAGATGTGGTGTAGTTATACATGGCCTCATAGATACTACTATTTTTTTGAACAAGATAGCGGACAATGTCAACATTATCCGATGATGTGCAAGCTATATGGAGTAATTCAGATGTGATTGGTATTTCAGTCTCACAGTAAGCGACAACACGTTTATAATTCGATTGTTTAATCGATTCGACAAGCTGAGTTTTGATGTGTTTAAAAAGATCATCAGCTATCTGTTGACAGCCGAGGGCCATCACGCAAAATCTTCGATGGTCGTTGCTATTTGTTGAGTTCACTTGCGCTTTGCATGTATATTCTGCGTTTAATTCAATTGCAAATTTATAAGGACTCTTACAGTTTTGATTAAAAAAAATATCATCGCCATCACGTATCGCGCGTCTAGCCATTGCGACGTTTCCACTTTTAATGGCAGCATGAAGTTTACTATCTGGCTCCCATTCAAGAACTTTAAGCCTTGTGTTGTCAGTTTTTGTTTCATCATTACGAGCATACCGTTGTCTTTTATTAACATCAATATGAGTTAGTAAGTCACATGTGTCTAGGTCCAATATTGGTGTGATTGGCTCCTCATTTTCTTCTCGAGTAGCACTATCTATATGAAAATCTAGTCCACGAAGAAAGTTAATAATTTTCCTTCTTTCAATATTTTCCTCTTTCGTCTTGGTCGAACTCCTTTCGGCTGAATTAAGTGGAGTTTTCTTCGATTCGTTTTGAGTCTTGTCATCAGCGCCCCACAGAATCAAATACCGAACAATACGATAATGATGATTTTTCACTGCCAAATGTAATGGAGTCTCAAGTTTTTTATTAGAGACATTTAACCGCACGTCTGGGCATTCTCTTAAAAATTGAACGATTTCAAATTGACCATATTCGGCGGCAACTGATATTGGACGATCACCATTCGAATTCGCTAATGTACAATTTGCTTTCAGATCTCGGACAAGATATTCGACGAACGATTTGGTCGTAGTTTTACAAGCTAAATGTAAAACTCCCCATCCCTTGTACTTTTCATCAATATTGTGTAGCTGATCGATTTGGGCTCCATAGTCGACCAACTTTTTTGCCTCGAACAGAACACGCTGATTTCGCTCATCATTCGTATTGGCATTTGTAATACAAGTCCAAAGTCGTATATTCAACTCTTTCTGAATTATATCAGCGATCTTGTGTAAGCCTTTCTCGTTAGCGAATTGATAAATGCTTTTTTTTAATACATCATTGAAAAATGCTTCTGTCGTCACTCTAGGTAGCTTGAGCAAGGTACGAAGAGTGCCAAATGATTCCTTATCATATAAAATACAAAGCTCAATAGGCCGAAGTCCTTCATTATTTGTGGCCAATACGTCTGCATTGAAGTCATTGACAAAGGCTGTCACCATTTCTGGAGTACCTTTATGAGTAATTAAATAATGAAGAAAGGAATCATTATTGTTTACGCGTGCATTTATGTTAGCTCCTTCTTCCAAGCAATCAAAAATTTCTTGTTTTTCTAAACGGGAGTTTTTCGTGCGAATCAATTGCTTCAATTTATGGTTAACAGCCTGTTCGGATAGAATTGCTATCAATTGAGGATTTCTCGGTGTCTTATCTTGAGCGATTTCAAGCGGAGTCTTATTAGCTTCGTTTGTATGCTTTGTATTACAGCCATTCGCCACAAGAACTCTAACGAGATCAACATTACTGGCGAGAACAGCCTTCGAAAGAACAGTATTTTGATGCTCATCTGTCGCTTCTGGATTAGCTCCTCGACGAATCCATTGAGCTGCCTCATTGACATCAATTAGACGATGCGTAACTAGAATTTCATTGAGTAAGGCATCCATCTGTTCCTGTATATAATTATTTACATCTTCTGACGACTTTGGATTGTTCTGTGATAGAGATAAACATGTTCGCTGTAGATCATCTTCTTTTGTTAAAGCAAACTTAGCATCTTGATCGTTTTCGACAAGCAATTGAACTACTTGAAGTCGAACAGGCTTTTCTTCCTGACTTAGTAGTTTTCCCAACAGTCCTAAAGAACCGTACTTTTCTTCCTGATAACAACTTGCTTGTAGTTCGATCAAATCTTCCATCTCGTCAAGCTTGTCACTACTTGATAGTACCAGTTCAGAAAGTAATTCGGAGGCGCGATCTTTTAATAATTTGATGATACGCCGACAATTTTCAGCTTTAAAAGGAGCTGCGAGACGAAGTCGATCTTCTTCTTCTTTAGTGACGTATTGAACCATCGATTGGCCATTGCGCAGGCGTGCTCTTACGTTAGCATCCTTCGCAATAAGTTGCTGCACCTTGAAATAGGACTTTTCTTCACTTGCACATTTTTCAATTAGTTGTATTAATCTTGTAGTTGCATTTGACATCACTTCAGGATAGTTGTCATCAAAAAAAAGTTCACGAATCACTTATCTATAACGTCCTGTTTGTTTACGAATCTAAAAAACAACAGCAATATTCTGGAAATATCACCAGAGGATATGTGTATGTCTTCTCTTCCCGCTATACTCACACTCTCTTCTGAATTTCAGACATGAAACATAGGTAGTAGTTTCAAGATTTATGATAGTCGCAAATTCGAAAGAATATTACATTATTCATGTATTCAAATCATTTTTGTATTCTCACATTGAACTGAATGTTTAGGAAATACTGTAGTATTCTTTCAAATTGCTACTATCATAAATTTCGAAACTACAACCTATGCTCCATGATAAGTGGTGAAGAATATCATGCGAGAAAAAAAATAATTAATAAATGAGATACTCATTCATTAATACTTTATTAATAGTCTTTTGATAATTACATTACTTACTGCTTACCTGGTAATCGGAAGTGCTAGTAAAACGATAAATGTGATATGGCAATCTTAAAAATTGAGATGCTCAAACAGGTTCGCTATCATTAGTTGATAGATTTTATTGTGAGTTTTTTTCGTAAATGATAATATGTGTATCCTAACATCATTAAATTAGTCAGTTCTAATTTATAATAGTTCTGCTGTAAGATCGTTGGTGATGCGCTCTCCAAGTATTAAGTTTTAGATATCTACTCCTATTAGTGAGCGTAAGATATTGAGCAGTAACTGTTAGGATTTACAATTATAGAATAGTTAACAATTTAAATTCAGCTTCAAGAATAACACATCTACATCTTTGTTGGTTATATGCATTGAAGCGATCTTTACTATGGAGAGAATAGAGCTCAGACGATAGAACATAATTTAACTTTCAAGTATAAATACTTTCTTCCAAACTCTGGTTCAAAGTACTCGAAAATAGATCAAAATACGTGCAATTAATGCAAAACCCCTAAAAGTAGTTCGAAGTTATTCCGAAGTATTTGAAACTATCCTAAAATATTTTTAAATTATAGATCAGTACTTTGAAACACCATGATGTACAGGAAAATAGTTTGTGACTGTGATATACTGGCTACTTACTTTACTATATTTGAACGCAGGTATTTGAGCTTCGCGATGACTGTGCTCTAGACAGTTATGTCAACGGAACTTGGAGCCTCTTTTTCTTCGGAAAGAAAATTTCATAAATGTTTTTGAAGACTATGAAAATCTACCTTGATGGATCGATCTGAGAGTAGAGGTGAGACGTTACTGTGGCCGTTACTGAGAACGGTAATGGGTAACGGGATAACGGACATACAATATTACATGCCTTTCGATTGCCCAAGGCTACAATGTGGGGTACCCTCTATTTTCAAGCTCTACAATATAGGGCACCTTTCGATCCTCCAGGGCTACAACTGGGCAGCACCTTTGAGTCCTCAAAAGCTACTATAAGAGTGCACCATTGCGTGTTTAAGCACAACAGTTGGGAGGTACCGTTGGGTCCCCAAGGAGAAATCTTCAGGCAGCATTTGGCTATCTTGCCATAGGTGGGGACCCCTACAATTACCCATCAATCGATAGAGCACAGTCGATAACCCTATGATCAGTCTGACCATGACTAGTAGTTGTCCGAACAATAAGGGGAAAAAGAACTCCTGAAAATTGATTGGTCTATGTTTCGACCAATCAGATGCCAGGATTCTATTTCTCAGTGGTGGGCGCAGTGGAGATCCCCACATAAATTTATCAATCAATAGAGCGCCCCGATAAACTTACGATCGCCTGAACATGACTACTGGTTGCCCGTACAATAATAGAGAGCTGCCTGCTGAAATGTGGTAGGAATTGAGTACCCACAGGTATCCCCCCCCTCCCCGATAACAGCACTTGGGGATTCAACCGTAGTCCCTAAAGTGTCACTTGAACACCTACAGAAACCTTTTTACAGTAGAACTTGAAGACCAAAGGGTACCTACTTGTCGTGAGACTTGAGCATCCGAGGGCGTCTCCTATGCCCTTTCCCACACCGTTACCTAGTTACAGCAACGGTAACGGTCGCTATAAAAAAAGTTTACCAGTTACCCGAGAACTGGTATTGATAACTTCCCACTCCCATGTGAGGGGGTCTGGGTGAGTATGGATGCGTGCGAGTATAGGTATGCGTGCCAGCGAGGATGTGGGTGTGAAAGAAGAATTGCACCTGCATCCTAGCTCCCAAGAGTTGTAAGAGTTCCATGAGTTCTATGAGTTCCTAGGATTCTAAGATTTCTAAGAGTTCCAAGAGTTCTTAAAGTTTTAGGAACTCCATGAGTTGCAAGCGCTCTAGGAGTTCCATAAGTTCTAAGAGTTCTAGGAGTTCCATGACTTCCTAAGCTGGAAGATTAGTATTCTCTCGTTAGTTGAAGAGTTTCACAATTCTTGAAGAGTTCTGATCTCCTAGAATCCGCCCAAGCAGACAAAAATTTCAAAAAACGCGTTTAAACGCACAATCGAGAACCGCGACTGTGATCCATTCACGCTCATTAAAAAAACGCAAGAAACGACGTTTTTT